CAACACAGTTTACCTAAAACTAAATCCACAAGCACCAATTTGGTAACTTAGGTTAATTTTATTTCCCCTATAGTTGGCTCTCAGAAACAAGCTGATGCCATTTATTTTGATTTGAGCAATGCATTTGACCTCATCCCACGTTCTCTTCTTCTTCATAAGCTTAGTACTATTGGGCCTATTCTGGTGGCTATGTAAACTGGTTTCGCAGTTACCTATCCAACCGGAAATCTCAGGTCCATGTTTCTGGTGTTCTTTCCTCACCTTTTGAAGTTCTGTCTGGTGTTCTCCAGGGTTCTGTCTTGGGACCCCTTCTCTTCAGTGTGTTTATTAATGATGTATGCAATGCAGTTGCCCACTCTAAGTGTCTACTTTTTGCTGATGATGTCAAAATTTACCGAGCCCTTCTCCTCAGAACTGTAATCTATTTCAGTCTGACATTAATTCTATACAGGGTTGGTACATTGCTAACTGTATGAAACTCAACATCAGTAAAACTAAAGTTATATCCCTCTCCAGAAAAACCAACGTACTGATCTATGATTATAAACTGTGTCAGTCATCTATAGCCTGGACCAATTCTATAAAAGACCTGGGAGTGCTTATTGATGCTAAACTATATTTCCATGACCATGTCAGTTATATTTTCTCACACTATGTTCAACTGTTGGGTCTAGTTCATAGCATTACTTTCAATTTCTCATCTCCAGACTGTATGCTTAGATTGTACACTGCATTAGTTAGATTTGAGCTTTAATATGCATCCATAGTCTGGAATTCGATTATGTCAACTGATGCCAGCAAGCTGGAGCACATCCAGCAGAGGTTTGCGGCCCTTTGTTTTAATTGTTTCTCTCCTCAAGTTCATTACTGTTATTCTCTTGTTCTGGAGGAGTTAAAATTGCATAATTTACATACTAGGAGACATCGCCTCTATGCCCTCTTTCTTACTCAAGTTTACTTCGGTTTGAAATTCTGCCCTTGTGTTCTGGAAATTGTTGTTCTCTGAGTTCCTGCTTGGTATATCAGAGACTTTGCATTGTTTGCTGTTTGCTCCTCATATAGAAATTGTCGCTCTGCTAGATGTGCAGCAGCTGCTAATGTTGTTTGCAGGGATGTTGACATGTTCAGAGCCAGGAAAGTTCTCCCCAAACGATTTTTAAATATACATAGGTTGTACTGAAAGTCATGAGCAACCATTTTATGCATGCAACCTGGGAACAGCAGACGAAAGAGATACGGTGGTAGGTGGAACCAGCTGTTGTGTTAACCTTGAGTGTCTTGTGATGTCAATAGCTTGCATCACGTGACCAGTATCACTCCTAACAAAATGGCCAACAATGATATGTCGTTTTGCCAGCGTGCTGTCATGGAATTTCTTGTGAAAGAGGAAATCCCTGCTGCAGAAATTCACCAGAGACTTCAGTGTGCTTATGGAAGTGTGTGCATGGGTGTGAGCAGTGTTCAAAGATGGGTGAAACGTTTTAAAGATGGAAACACCAGCATCAAAGATGAGCCTCGGAGCGGTTGTCCTCGAACAGCCTCAACTGAACACAACGAGGAAAGAGTGGATGAGATCATTCAAGATGATAGGCATGTGACTGTGGACACAATAGTCTGAAAACTTGGAATAGGCCACAGTGCAGTACACGAGATGATTGAAAGCTTGAGCTATAGGAAAGTTTGTGCTCGTTGGGTCCCATGGTTATTGACCGAAGACCACAAAGGTCAACGAAAATCCATCACCTCAGAACTGCTGCAGAGATATTGACACGAAGGCAATGATTTTTTGCTCTGTATTGTGACAGGTGATGAAAGTTGGTTTCACAATTTCAAGCCTGAAACGAAACGGCAGAGTATGGAATGGCATCATTTGCATTCTCCATCAAAAAAGAAGACAAAGACAGTGCCATCAGCTGCGAAGGTGATGGGCACAGTCTTCTGGGATGCAGAGGGGTTTATTCTGGCCGAATTCCTGGAACCTGGGCAAACCATCGATGCTGCTTGTTATGTCCAGACGTTGCACAAGCTCCGTCGTGCATTGCGTGATAAATGTCTGGGACGAAACATCATCATCCTGCATGATAACGCTTGCCCCCACACCTCTCCTGTTAACGCTTACTTTAATTTTTCTTGGAATTATTAATTTATTTCCGTTACATAGACTGTCATATTTTGTTTTTTAATTATTTTTGTGTATTTTTTGTACTCGTGCTAACTTTGTAATTGGCCTCTGTGCTGTTAAGTTTGCACGTAAATAAATATGAATTAAATTGTTGTTGTTATTATTATTAATAATATTATTAAGCCTCTCTGATTCTTTGATGAGTGTCACACCAACTTTGACAAGAGTCTTCCTTAAAGACTACATTGCAAAGGCTGTAGGGTGATAAAACTGGCTGTAGTAATTATTGGGGGGATATCACTGCTATCAGCTTCATACAATGTTTTATCCAATATTCTTCTCCCAAGGTTAAGTCCATACATAGACGAAATTATTGGGGATCATCAGTGTGGTTTCCAACGTAACAGATCAACTATAGATCAGATCTTTTTCATTTGTCATATATTGGAGAGAAAATGGGAGTACAGTGTGACAGTACATCAGCTATTTGTAAACTTCAAGAAAACCTATGATTCAGTTAGGATGGGAGTATTGTACAATATTCTGATAGAGTGTGGGATACCCATGAAACTAGTTAGGTTGATTAAAATGTCATTAAATGAAACATATGGTAAAATCTGTATAGGTAAATATTTGTCTGATAATTTCCCTAGCCAGAATGGTCTATAAAAAGGAGATGCTTTATCGCCACTCCTTTTCAATTTTTCTTTAGAATATGCCATTAGGAAGGTCCAGGAAAACCAGGTGGGACTGAAATTGAATGGTGCACATCAGCTGTTGGACTATGCTGATGATGTGAATCTACTGGGCGATAATATAGATACCATAAAGAGAAACAAACAAACTTTAATTGATGCTAATGAAGAGGTCGGTCTAGAAGTAAATACAAATAAACTAAGTATATGTTGCTGTCTCATCACCTAAATGCAGGCAAAATCATAATATAGATAGATTCTGTGGTTCTGCTGTCAGAACTGTACGAAAATTTGTATCTGGTCTTCCTACAAGATCCACTAATAAAAAGAACTTTCAGTGCTCATGCTGATTAGAACAGTTCTGGATCCTGATTAAATTCTTTCTAAACAATATAAACACATGGGTTTAAATTGTCGCGAAAAACATATGCAGCCAATGATTTTTTCCTCCTGTCTTCGCTTATGCTGTCTCAACAACCACAATGTTATTACAGGATCAATATTATTATTTGATGTTCCAGAAGACAAGTGCACGAAATTGGAGGGCAAACACACTCGCTTGAAATGATGTGAGCAACGAATTGAACGTAAGTTTCCTCAGTGTGTTCCTGCTAATCAGGAAACCAGTTGCTTGCTTGAAATCGGCAATTTTTTCTGAAGTCGCGGTTGCGTTGCGGTTGTCAGTTTCCTTGGTTTGCCCCCGGCCGTAAGGACGCTACCTACATAGGACAACACAGACACAGAATAAATCATAGACATCCATGCCTCGAGTGGGATTCGAACCCACAATCTCAGTGTTATAGCGGGCGAAGACGGTTCATGCCTAAGTCGCCTTAGACCGCGCGGCCACTATGATCGGCAGTCAACTACTGTTGCGGGTAAAGGTAAAGTTGTCCTTGTGCTTAAATAATTAAGTACTACCCCATGAAGGCGTATGGGGGAGTCGATGTATAGATCCATATTTTCTTGGTCTCGGCACTAGCTGGAGGTGAGTGGTCAGCTTCACACCCCTGCTACTTCACTCCGGGGGAAGAGCATCCTGTACCTATTGGGTAGGGGGCTGAGTGGGCCCCAGAGCCGGTCTGGACGAAATGGAGAAGAGAAAATTCCTTACCCAACCGGGACTCGAACTCTGACCCCTCGGTCATCCACCCCATATCAAGTCGCTATGCCGGCTCATCTACTGTTACCAGTGGCAGATCTTAGAACTCAGTGGAAAAAGAAAGGCAAAAGCTTCACACTTTCAGTCAAAACACCGAAACGGAAGAGAGAAAAAAGCTACTTTGAAAGGTACTACAGGAATGGCTCGACTCCGTGGTTCCGTGAGATAAAAATGAACCGGCGTGCATTCGTGTCAATAAACCGTATGAGAGCTGGTCATTCCAGCCTTAAAGCAAGCTAAACAGATTTAACACTGTGTCCACTTCAGAATGTGAATGTGGTGACGGGCTGCAAACGGAGGAACGTATCTTCAGGGACTGTAAACTGTACGATGACCAAAGGGCAACAATGATGAACAATTTACCTGAAAACAGCAAAAAAGAATACCTGAAGTCAGTTCCAGAACTCTTAAGGCTAGAGGAAAAAAGATTTGTGTAAGGCGTCTGCTTTTTTTTTTTATTGCTAGTGGGGTGGGTCTAAGTCCCTTGTACTGCGGCCACTTCTGTCCTATTTTACCAGCCCCAGATGATAGTTAAGGGTGATTGTGGAGCAATTGGTGGAATGAAGATTGGCAGCGGAAACCGAAATACTCGGAGAAAACCTGCCCCAGCGCCACTTTGTCCACCACAAATCCCACTTGACCAGACCTGGGATTGAACGCGGGCCGCCGTGGTGGGAAGCCAGCGACTAACCGCTTGAGCTATGGCGCGGCCAAGGCGTCTGCTAGTTCATAAACAAAATTCCTAAATTAAAAACTGAGCAAGGCGTATATGTACAAAATATTGATAGCAAATTCTCAAGAGCCTTATTAAGAGATATATTCAAAAATCGCGGGGCGACCGCTGTGATGGAATAAGATGTTTATACGACTGCTACAAAAGGCCCGATGAGCATTGCCTAGGCCATTTTTTGTATATACATTTGTTTTTTCAAAATAAAAAAGAATGCTATGTGTTTGCCGGATGGGCATTGCCTTGGCCTTTTTTGTAAATATATTGTATTTATTTTATCAAAATAAAAAAATGCGCACTTGTGTAACTACGTCGGTCTTGTAATGTTGTAGGTGAGACATGTGATATGTTCTGATGTGTATGTTGGAAGAAATGATGTTTTTGTTGTCAGTTTAGACGGTTTAGACTTTCTGTTTATTGAGTCATAGGTAGTTACTTTCTCAGCTACATAGCCGAATGAAATAAGGTTAGTTTCTGTATTCTATAAATGATTTGTAAAAGCGTTAACATTACGCCTTTTGGGTTTATTCTGTATGCCTTTAAAAAATTCCAGGTGTTTCTCATTGGTACGAATTTTTTATCTTTATCGTTCGAATGTCGGACGCATAACTTTATGGATTGTTTCGCAGTTTCGGCGGAGATCACTGTGATGTTCCCCTCAGATAGGTCATCATTGCCTCCTTCCATTTCTTACACCGAAACCATTCAACAAACTTTTCTTAACACAGGGCCGTTAAATAAAAACAGTCAGTGAATTAGAAACGTTTATATAATTTTTGTCCCATTACTCCAGAATTTGCATAATGTTATGCACATCCGGTGTTCTGAAATTACTTAGGCCTTTGTATTCCACGTTGGATTTGAGGTTCAGTAACTAAGGAGTTCTGTTGTAATTTAACACCATGTAGATTAGTCAAACTGACGTTTTGGAGGCAGTATGTTCTCTGAAATATCGGTTTGCTTTCACTGGGCTAGATGGTATTATGCCCACACCACTGTCATGATCCAGACCATTCAGACTTTCCTGGGTAGCCTCTTGAATGGATTTTTTTTTCATATGGTGGTGTGGACGCTTTGTTAGTTCAGATGTCAAACATGGTAACCTGTTATTAACAGTATATGAAAATAAGGAAAGATGTTTGAAATGAATGTATGAAGAAGACTCTAGCTTTGCCATAGCTCACTTTAAAGTCTAAAATATTAGTCCCTTCCAAAAATATAATGTTGCAGGAAGAACAATGACATCCACTTTCATTAAATGCTTTAACCAGTATGCAGGAACTGTACACGATAATTACACAGTTTAGTTATCCATTTCTGCATATGATATACGCAGGTACTGACATGAACTGTGATCTGTTTGCCAGAGATAACCTGAAAGTTTTCTATTGTAACCATGTAATCATTACCATGTAAAAGAATGTTTCATACATAATTTCTAGATGTGATTTATGGATCATCTCCATACAGAAGTTCTCGTCCTATTTCGGGAGTTATTCTGGTTACATGGCAAGCTAAAATATAGGTTTCTTGAAGATGCTATGTTGTCAGTCTGTAGGTGCAAATAAAAGGTTATTAGAAACTGGATGATTTTCAGACATAATGTACTCCAGTTTTTAGAATTCATATTAAATAGTTTTAATGTCATCTCAGATGTTTGCACAGCTGCCATCTGGTATAATCATTTATTTTATTTATTGTGGTGGGAAATTAAAGACAGCAGATGGATAAGGTGGTCTGTAATGACATAATGTTTTTACCAGTTTTCATCTAAATACTCAGTATATCTGTCAGTTAAAAAGTTGTTAAAGGGCACAGACATAGAGACCACATGCCATAAGCTTAAATTTCTTTATAAAATAATGACTAGGCTGAAAAGGATATTGTATGCAGTTGAAAAGTAATTATTAAAGAATGCATATATTATGTTACAGTAATTGATTTTGAGTTGTAAGATTGATGCTTTAATTTGCTTTCAAATACAATACATTGCTTGTTATCTAATAGGTATATGGAATGATGTATGCTAGTTACATGAGGAAGACTCTGGCAGAGTTGAAACAGCACATTTTCATTTTTAGTTCTTACATGGGATTCTTCTAAGGTGACATAATTGATTGATGAATAAAAGATTTCAGATGCATGTATACTGTAATGTCATGTTCATGAGTGAGGATGATTGTAGCACTTCTGGTGGTGGCTAGGAGAACTACTGCATGGAAGGTGAACATATGTGCATCACAAATCTATGTGTGAATCATTTTATAGAAATTGTCAATTTTCTCTTAAATTCTTGCCAGGTGGATGTGAATTCTGGATGCTTTTATAGACAGATAACTGGAAATTAAAGTACTTTTGAATCTGTCAAATCTGGAAAACCATTATTAAAATTGCCTTACTTTATTATGATTTTCTGTTGTAGGTTTTTGCTGTTTCCAGATTTACAATGCCCAGAAATCATTCAAGATATCAAACAGTTAATGAGTTTCCTAGTTCCCCAGATATTCCGCTGTTTGGAAATACAGAAAGGAGTTCTGGGGTAAGTTGTTCATTGTGATGTTACAGAACATTAGTTCATCACTGCTAATTGTCTTGGGGGCCAGTTTTCAAAATGAAACAGAAAATGAATGATGACAGTCCAATAATTGTAAATGTGGAGTTTTAGCATTGACTAGTGTAGGATGATGACTTGATACCCTCTGGATGGCTGGGGTTCTTATCCTGTGAGGGCATTAGCATTAGTTAACAGATATTGGCCCATTCAGCAGTTGAACAAAAATTCTACTCAGAAGACCTCTCCGCAAGTGTAACCATGATTGTTTGATATCTGCTGAGAAATATAAAGCAATTAGTTATGGGAAAAACTAACCACTTACTTTCCTTTCACTACATTATGAATATTTGATATGACACAGACTTCATAGAAAACGGTGTGTCCAACATGAAGGAAGCTGTCTTCTGGGATGTGGCACCGTGTAGAAATTGTGTTAACCGACATTTCGGAGGAACGTATCGCCTCCATCTTCAGGGTAGGAGACAAGAAGAAATCCATGAGCAAACCAGCAGAGCAGGTGCAACAGACTGAGTCCAGTCCAAGTAAACAGCTGTATAAGAGGAGAGGAGGAGTGTGGCTACATAGGGAAATAGTAGAGAGGAGGAGGGTCTGGTGAAATGGCCAGCAGGTAGTGGGCCAGAGCTGGTATAGAGTATGTGTCGGGGGGGGGGGGAAGGGAAGGTTAAATGGACGGCATTAACCCTGTAGCTGGTGAGCTGTGATTGACCTGAGTGGCCTATAGGGTCTGCCATACTATTTTCCTATGTAGCCACACTCCTTCTGTCCTCTTGTACGGCTGTGTTTACTCGACTGGATTCAGTCTGTTGCACCTGCTCTGCTGATTCACTCGCGGATTTCTTCTTGTCTTCTACCCTGAAGATGGAGGTGATACATTCCTCTGAAACGTAGGTTAACACAATTTCTACATGGCGCCACATCCCAGAAGACGGCTTTCTTCATAGTCACCGCCTTGAAAACCACAATGTGTCCAACAGTTCTTCTGTCATTGTGTGTGTATTTGTTGGTCCAGGAATGTATTTGCTGAGCTGCTGCCTAGCAGCAGTAAAGGGGGGATACACATATAGACAGCAAGGTGATCTCATAAGCCTCCTTTTATTTTTTCAAAATAAGGAAAGTGGGCTGAACAAGAGAGCAGGCATTAATATTAATGAACAGATTATAAGGGTTTTTCGCTCATCAGCCTTAAATTTTTATTTGCCAACAATGAGCTGTGTCGGTCCATGGGTATTAGGACCATTCTCTTCATCACTATGTTAGAAAGTCTCTGGGGGTCCACCCAGCAGCCACAGCATGATGCTAGCCACTCTCCTCTGTCTAGTACTGAGGGCTAGTGTGTGTTATCTGCAACTTCAACTAAACTACAAGTGTTAACCATTAATAATATATGAGCTAGCCTGTTGTATTGTACAATTTTTTTTTAATTCACTTGGGTGGGGGGGGGGGGGCCAACTGGGTCCACTCGGCATGACAGCGACTGATTGGTCTATAGTACCTGCCCCTGGTGATTATGATGATGGAGAATTTGGTGGAATGAAGATTGGCAAGGGAAACCAAAGTACTTGGAGAAAACCCGTTCCAATGCCACTTTGTCCACAAGAAATCCCACTTGACCAGACCCGGGATCGAACCCAGGTTGCCACGGTGGGAAGCCAGCGACTAACCACTTGAGCTTGTAGTATACAATATTATACTGTATATGTAGTAACCAACCAACTCCATGGAGCTGAGTCCTCAGAAGCTGCCAGTCGCTCAGCTGCTCAAGAATTTACTAATAATTTATGTAACCTGAAGGTTTATTACTGTGTTCACAAGGACCCTCCAGTGGTCCCTGTCCTGAGCCAGATCAATCAAATCCATACCACCCCACCTATTTCTCTAACATAATTTTAATATTATGCTCCTACTGTCTAGGTCTCCCTAGTGGTCTCTTTTTTTTCTGACGTTCCCACCATAATCCTGTGTTCATTCCTCTTCTCCCCATATATGCTACATGCCCTGCCCATCTCATACACTTTGACTTTTTTATTCTGATTTTATTTGTTGGGCAGTACAAGTTATGAAGCTCGTCATTGTGCAGTTTTCTCCAGCCTCCTACCATTTGATCGTCCTTTCATCCAAATATTCTCCTCAACATGCTGTTCTAAAATACCCTCAGTCTGTTGTTCCCATAATGAAAGAGACAAAGTTTCACATCCATACAGAACCACAGACAAAATTATAGTTCTGTATATTCTAATCTTTATGTTTTTGGACAGCAGACAAGAAGACAAAAGGTTCTAGACTGAATGGTAGCAAGCATTACCCGAGTTCAGTTGCCTTTTGATTTGCTCCTAAATCAGGTTTCGATTTGTTATAGTTTTGGAAGTTAGATGCTGTTTCAAAATGTTGTCCCTTCAGTTTCATTTTAAATTTGGGAAACAGAGGTAAATCACATTGTGCTAAGACCAGCGAGTAGAAAGGATGGGGAACAATAACCATGATTTATTTAATCCGTCTTGCAGTGCATACACTCATTTTTCTCCTTCTCTCCCTCGCACTACATGTTTCGGCATAATAATGCCATCTTCAGGTGCTTACTTATCCACGTCAAACCAGTTCATTGCATGCCATGTTCACACATTAAAATAACTAAAATATGTATCTATCATATACATTGTCCAACGTTAAAAATATTAAAATTGTTCAGGATACCACATCGCTACGTCGCCCCTCACTACGTCAGTCACGCCCATTCTCCTTTGTTGGAGCACTCCTTCACTATCTTGTGTATTGTGGTTTTGTTGTGTCGTGCTCCTGCGACTGCATGTGTTAACAATAACCATGTTGTTGTTAGTCACAAACTGTAGTTTTCAGGGATGTATGGGCGACTGTGTTGTCATGATGAAGGAACCGTTTGTGGTTGTGCCAAAGTTCCAATCTTTTTCATCTCACATATTCTCTCAAGTGTCTTAAAATGTCACAGTAGAAGTCAGAGTTGACTGTAGTGTTAGGAGGAAGAAATTCGTGGTGAACAATCCCCTTCCTGTCAAAAAGAGAAAACAGTGAAATTCATGGTGAACAGTCCCCTTCATGTCAAAAAGAGAAAAGAGCATGCTCTTTGTTGAACTCCGGTCATGCTGCAACTTTTTTGCTCTTGGTGATTGTGGGTTCTTCCACTGCAATGATTGTTGCTTTGTTTCTGGATCATAACCATAAATCCATCTTTCGTCACCCGTTATGATCCTGGAGATACAAGTAAAAGTTGGGTCCTTATTAGCCTTCTCTCATAGCTCAGGACACATGTTTACGCGCAGTTACTTTTGATCATTTGTCAATAGTTTGGGAACAAATTTCACGGCAGTGCGGTGTATAAAATTTTCTGTTAAGATCTCCTGGCAAGCTGCATAACTGATCCCAACATTGTCTACAAGCTCATGGATTGTTTGATGATGGTCTTCATGAATGAGTTCTCAAATTGTTTCAACATTTTCTGTCATTTTGTTGGTGCTTGGTCTCCCTGAATGTTCATCATCTTTAACTGACACTCGACTGGCCTTGAAACATGAATGCCATTCAAAAACCACTGTCTGGTTTAAAGAATGTTCTCCAAAAGCCTCATAAAGCATTTCAATGGTTTCAGTAGTGCAAAACTAGATGCAGACACATTGCTCAATTTTGCTAGAACAAAACATGAAGTTTAAAAAGTATTCATGTAAAAACAGTGCATGCTCACAGTGCAGTGTCACGTGGCAGACTGATGTAATAGGCTTGCAGAAGTGTGACCTTGGCTACCCCCTCATCTTCTTTCACTGAGGAAGTTACAACAGTAACAGTCTGGGAACTTTCTGATGGTGCCTCATATTGTGCCATGGATCCATTAGGCATACATGTAAATTTATACTAAATGTGTGATACATTAACTCTAGCTATAAACAGGACCTGAAGGTCTGAAACAAATCATCTTAGCATCCCCAGGTGCTGGAAATAGTGTTGTGTTAACAATAAGTATTTTCTGTTGTACCTTCAAATGTAAAAGAGCAAAACCTGAATGGAGGTGAACTTAATATTCATCAGTATCTAAGTTCCACAGTGATGAAGCAAGTTTAGTCACCCTGAAGTGAGATCAACAGATACAAAAGCTCTTTGTGCTATAGAATATAATACATTTATAATAGAAGCAGTGACAGAAAAGTCAAGCTGTTACAGATATGTTTATTGATAGAAAGGAAAAATAAGTAAGTGTTGTATAAAGTTCTTGTATAGACCGCTAAATGTGACCGTTGAATGCAGTAACAGTATATAGAAAATTGTAGCTAGAAGGATAAAAGTAAAAGTGAAGTTTTCCCTGTGTTTAATTAATCATTTGCCACACTATGAAGATTTATAGGGAGCATGTGGTAGTGTAGTTGGTTGAGGCACTATGCTACAAGCCGGAAGGTCGCGGTTTCAAGTCTCGTTGAGGTCATTTGATTATTTTCAATTGACCTATTCCTTCCATCCTCTCTATAGCCCTGGGGTCGACTCAGCCTCTAACACAAATGAGTACCAAGAATATTCTTGGGGGTAAAGGGCAGCCGGTGCATAGGGCTGACAACCTTGCCGCCATCTATGAGCCAGTTGTCTAGAAAATGTGGGAACCTCAACATCTCGCAACCCTATGGGCCTCCACGACCTATTACAGGGATACCTTTACTTACTTTATGAAGATGTATAGAGGAGTTGCAGTTTAGTTCCACCACTCATGACATTGGCACTAGATAGAGGTGAGCATCATCTTTGCACCCTAGTTGTTTTACCACTAGAGAAATATCCCCTGGTACCCATTGGGTAGGAGGTTGGGTGGGCCCCAGAGCCAGTCTGAATGCTGTGGAGAAGAGAAAAATTTCTTGTCCCTGGCAGAAATTGAACCCCAGCTGTCTGCCTATAGCCCATTGCTTTACCGACCCAGCTGTCCTGGCTCCAGATAGGAAGGTGGGTCATCTAAAATTTAGAGTTGATTTGATGCAGTGTTTGTTACTGACATATTCTCAGGAACATAAAGTGACAAGATCCCATGCAAATGACAACACAGCAGCAAGGCTGGCACAGCATCATTTCTTCAGAATACTTCCAACAGAAAGGAAGTCAGAACCCCAAAACAGTGTGCAGTATGCAACAGATGTGAGGAAACCTGACAAGCAGAGTATTGGTGGCTTAACCATGAAGTGACACTATGTATGTGTGTGTGTACATGTATGCATGTGGCGCGCGCATCCGCAATAAAAATAATACAGACATATTTTGTTCCTTTTATGTAGCGAAAATATTTTGTATGTCAGTCAAAATGTCATTAGTGTCTAATCAAAAATGCAGAATTTGTGGCCATCTGAAAGGCTCCTAATTTTCTACCTAATAAGTTTTCAGTGAAAGCATCCTGTTATGTATCATATATTATTTCTTACTGAAAACTGTCACAACACAACAATCAATAATATGTGTAAGTAGCTCTAGGAGATACTTCTGCTACATGTTTCAGCCTTCAAAAGGCCATCATCAGGCAAATACATTAAACTTGTTATTGAATTGCATGTCAAATATAGAATACACCACTAGACTTCCAAGTATATACAGTGGTATAAAATGATATGAATGAAATAAAATATAAATTACAATAAAAGTTGAAGCCTTAAAATAACGGGTGACTCCATTGTGCAGATGTCCTAATGTTCCTAAGGACATTTACACAATGGAGTCGCCCGTCAAATAGTATCAAATATTAATTAATAACATACAAACATAACAACAGGCCTCCAAACTCCACATCAACTGTTGTGTACATAATATGTCTGTATAAATGATTACAACAGCCAACTTCCAAATACAATCACATATACAACTTTTAACTGAACTTTTGACTATGTAACTGGTTACTTTAAGACTTCAACTTTTATTGTAATTTATATTTTATATTCATATCATTTTATACCATTGTATATACTTGGAAGTCTAGTAATTTATTCTATATTTGACATGCAATTCAAGAAGAAAAGTTTAATGTATTTGCCGGATGATGGCCTTTTGAAGGCTGAAACATGTAGCAAAAGTATCTCCTAGAGCTACTTACATGTATTATTGAATGTTGTGTTGTGATGGTTTTCAGTAAGAAATAATACCTAATAAGTGATTACACTGAGTTGAGTCCATTTTGAGAAGTCACCAGTTTTGGCCGATACTAAAGAATTTCCCAACATTTCATGGGAACCTGAAAGTTCATTACTGTGAGAGCTCTCCACTGGTCCCTATTGTGAGCCAGATCAACCTAGTCCATACCACTACATCCTATCTCCCTGAGATCCATCCTGATATTGTCACGTGTATTAGTGACTTGTAGATGGGGTTTGGATCGGTGAATCAATTTATTGGATATTCACTAGTTGTATTATTTATTATTATTTATTATTGCTAGTGGGGTGGGACTAAGTCCCTTGTACTGCGGCCACTTCTGGCCTATTGTACCAGCCCCAGATGATAGGTGAGGGGGATTGTGAAGCAATTGGTGGAATGAAGATTGGCAGGGGAAACTGAAGTACTTGGAGAAAACCTGACCTAGCGCCACTTTATCCACCACAGATCTCACTTGACCAGACCCGGGATCGAACCTGGGCTGCCACAGTGGGAAGTCAGTGACTAACCGCTTGAGCTATGGCGTGGCCTTTGCTAATTGTAACTACAGTTAATGATAACACTTTAAGATTTACTGTAATTATAACACATGAAATGACATCTTCTTACACTGGTTGTTGCTAGACAACAGATCTCAAGAATGGCTACGCCTTTACAATGTCTTCACTATCCATTTCCTGGAAACAGATTTATAACATGGGAACTATAACAGTCTCACTGAATTACACACTCCAAATATTACACGTGAAGTCTTCTCTTCTCAGCCACACTCTAGCAAATAACTCTTTTCTTCACAGCCTCTCGTACAGAACTGAATTCTCGGTTCGACTCTATACACTCCTTTCCAGACAACTTCATGTCCTTGATTCAAGGCTTCTCAGTTACGAGTAGCTGCGACTGACTTCTTGGTTATTCTGTAACCTCTTGTAATTCCTAAGATATGGACCACATAGGAAACTTCTTCCATTCTTGTATTGCAATGCAATTGCCTAGTAGCGAGTTATAACGATATATTCCTTATCATTGTATGTATTTGTTGCTGTGAGAATATTTACAAGGTCATTGCCTATCAATGATGACACTCCTCTATTGTTATAGAAATGGCCCGCATGTAACAATATTATCAGCCCTCCTACATCTAGGTCTGCCTACTTGTCTTTCCTTCTGGGTTTCCCACCAAAATCCTGTACGCATTCCTCTTCTCCTGCATGGATGCTACATGCCCTGCCCACTTCTCAACCTTTACTTGATCAGTCATATTATACATGTCAAAGAGTATAGTCTATGAATCACTTGATTATGTAGTTTTCTCCAGCCTCCTTTCACTTCATCCCTCTTTGATCCAAATGTTGTCCTCAGCACCCTGTTCTCAGACACCTTGATTCTCAGCTTTTCCCTTGATGTCAGAGACAGAGTTTCACGCCCATACATAACCACAGGAATAATTATACATTAGTATTTTTTTTGTTGATATTGTCTAGGTACCATTTGCAGAAATGAAATGCCCAGTGGAAAGTGATCATACCTTGGGCTCTGAACTAAGTTTGAATATTACCATGCTAAATCATTAAAAGTACTGCATTTTTCTCAAACAGCTGTGTAATGCTTATGGCAAGCCTGTGAATAGGCTAGATGTCTTGCAAGTATGTTTGAGATCAGGTTCTGTTGTGTCAGTTCCTTATGCATATTGTATTGTGTTTCAGTCTCGAGTCTGTAACATACTTCTTGGTTTCATCACCATCTTCGTTGTTATCTTTACAATGATCAGTGCCTTCATATTCGATAAAAATTCTAGGAGAGGTTTGAATATCACACTGACAGTAGTTATTGCGATGCTATGTGCATCTCATCTTTTCCTGGTAAGTAACTACACTTCTGTGCTCTTCATGTTTCTGTAGGGAAAGGTATGAATAGACTTATGATGCTGATCGCAACCACCCTCGTGCTTTGTAATTCTCTGCTGTGAGCAATATGAACATGATGCTCTTGTACTGTTAAACATCCTGTTTGCAGTGCCTGCAAATAAAAATGGAGGGGTTACCATCACAGACAAATGTTTTTATTAGTCTACTCACAACATGTTTTGACAAGGGCATGTGGTAATATAGTTGATTGAGGCACTATGCTACAAGCAGAAGGTCACAGGTTCGAGTCCTGATGAGGTGGATTTTTTCAGTTTACCCAATCCTTCCAGCCGCCCTATGGCTCCAGGGTTGATTCAGTCTCTAACAGAAATGAGTACCAGGAATCTTCCTGGTGTCTAAAGGGTAGTCTACACATAAGGCTTGACAACCTCATCACCATCTGTGAGCCGATTGTCTAGAGAAAATGTGTGAGCCTCGACGTTTCACAACCCTACGGGCCTTCATGACCTGTTACATGGATAACTTTACCTTTTTTACCTTACATATTTTGACCCAGACAGACCAACATCAGTTTATATGTGAGAAATATACATGTGAAGACAATTCATTCAATATTTTAGCTTTTCACGGTAGTGGCTATAAAGAATGCCGTCTTCTGGGATGTGGCTCTGTGTAAACCGACGTTTCGGAGGAATGTGGATTTTTATACCCTGAAGATGGAGGCGATACGTTTCTCCAAAACGTTGGTTTACACATTATCTACGTGGCACCACATCCCAGAAGACAACGTGCTTCAGAATTCATTCAGTTCCATCAGCAGAATAATTACTGTGTCGCGGGAGAGAGCAGTATTCTGCACAGAACATTGGATCCATAAAAAACTGCGCTCCATTGCCTTGACATTATAATCTAATACACATGGACCTAGCATATATATTTCTCACGTATCATCTGACAATGGACTATCCGGGTTGAAACCTGTTATGAGTGGAATAATAAAAATGTTTGTTTCAAAATAACTCCATTTTTATTTATGAATATGACACCCTTGCATTTTTCTGGTGTGGAAATGACACTGCTGTGTAATTTTGGATAATGGTATATCCTGATAAAATACAGCTTTTGTTGATTTAACACTTGTGTCAGATATGATGTGAAAGCTGTATTAAATAAGTAAACTTTTCCATGAGGAATGGAAACAGATCCTACATCATTATAAATGTTTTGTCTAGTTACCTTCTGGCTCAGAATTACTAGACCAAAGAAAACAAGCCAGATTGCAGTGGTTACAGTATCCAAGCAAAATAAATAGGGATAATCTGAACAATATAAGATGCAAAACCAGCAGGAATTTCAGGAACAAAAAGAGGGAATATCTGAAAGACAAAATTGATGAGTTTGCAATGAACAGTAAGAACAAGAACATTATAGACCTGTATAGAGGAATAAATGACTTCAAGAGGGGTTACCAACCTAGCAGTAACTTAGTGAAGGATGAGAATGATCTGCTTGCAGATTCCCACAACATTTTGAATAGGTGGAAGAACTGCTTCTCTCAGTTTTTGAATGTACCTAAGGTCAGTGCTGTTAGGCAGACAGAAAGCCATACAGCTGAGCTATTAGTACCTGATCCTAGCCCTTTTGAGGTTGAAATTGCTATTGCAAAATTGAAACGGTATAAATCGCCAGGTTGTGCTCACATTCTGGCAGAACTTATTCAAGCAGGAGGCAAAATAAATACGTTCTAACATCTATAAGCTAATTACTTTGTTTCGTATAAGGAAAACTTGCCTGATCAGTGGAAGGAATCTGTTATTGTACCAGTTCACAAGAAGGGTGATAAAACTGACGGTAGTAATTATCGGGGGATACCATGGCTATCAGCTTCATACAAAATTTTATCCAATATTCTTCTCTCAAGGTTAAGTCCATACATAGGTGAAATTATTGGGGATCATCAGTGTGGGTTTCGACATAAATGATCAACTACAGATCAGATCTTTTTCATTCGTCTGATATTGGAAAAGAAATTGGAGTACAATGAGACAGTATATCAGCTATTTGTAGACTTCAAGAAAGTCTATGATTCAGTTAGGAGGGAAATATTGTACAATATTCTAATAGAGTTTGAAACTCATGAAACTAGTTAGGTTGATTAAAATGTCTTTAAACGAAATGTATAGTAAAGTCTGTATAGGTAAACATTTGTCTGATAAATTTCCTATCCAGAATGGTCTAAGACAAGGAGTTTCTTTATCGACACTCCTTTTCAACTTTTCTTTAGAATATGCCATTAGGAAGGTCCAAGAAAAACAGGTGAGACTGAAATTAAACAGGACACATCAGCTGTTGACCTATGCTGATGATGTGAATCTACTGGGTGATAACATAGATACCGTAAACAAAAACACACAAACTTTAATTGAAGCAAATAAGAAGGTTGGTCTAGACGTAAACACAGAGACAAAGTTCAAATACTTGTTCTTGTGAATGATAACAAATCAAAACCTGATTCAGGAGGAAATTAAGAGGAGATTGAACTCTGGTAATGCTTGCTACCATTCAGTCCAGAACCTTTTCTCATCTCGTTTGCTGTCCAAAAACATAAAAATTAGAATATACAAAACTATAATTTTGCCTGTGGTTCTGTATGGGCGTGACTCTTGAGCTCTGACATTAAGGGAGGTACGTAGACTGAGGGTGTTTGTATTATTATGTTTTACTTATTTGTAGTGTATTTAATGATGTTGGTAACTTGGAGTATATAGGGTTGTATGATTAGATGAGTAATGAATTGGAGATGATGTGGAATGAAGCTGATTTGGCATAATATGAAATACTGTCGCGGATTTTTCGTGAAGGGACTGAGGAAAAGCACAGAGTAACCCAGTCAGGCTAATCACCGTACCAGCCAAGGTTTGAATTGGGAACTTCCCAAAGCAGAAGCACTACCAGTTTAGCCAAATTTCCCAGTCTCATAATTGCTGTTTAGCTTCTGCATCAACATCAAAGACTATTTGTGATATATCATGTGTGTAAGAAGCATGAGAGAGGGTTTCCTGCAAAATCTTTGTTCTCTGGATTCACCTCTGTAAATAAATCACACAAGACTATGTACAAGTAGATGTCTTCACTAAACAGCTTTTCATATGTGACTAATGCAACACAGAATGGCATATGTGAGTCAGAATGCTATTGAAAGTATATCCTGTTACCCCCTTGCTGATGGAAGCCATACTAATTTTCTGTACCATTGTTTTCGGAGCATTTGTGTCCTGAACAATTCATTAATATCACTTCATAATAATAACAGTTAAAAATAAAAGTGTAGTACTATCATGATGCTATTGTGTGGAAAAGGTTCAGTCCATTTTTCATCTCGCATCATCCCTGGTTGCCTCTCTTCACCCCATGAATGACACCTTAAAATGAGCTGATAGACATTCATAACAAATAGTGCATGGCAGAGATGGAGGCTCAATTTCCAGTTATTGTAATTTTATGAAACTTTCAACAGTTATTAACAGTGAATTCTGAGCAGAATTTGCAAAACCTACTTTCCTCTTGAATAAATTGTTAATGTTACATATCTCTTTTCTTGTGTGTGTGTGTGTGTGTGTGAGAGAGAGAGAGAGAGAGAAGGGGGGTAAAGGGGAGAGGAGAAGAGAGATGGATGTATTACTTAGGAACTGATTCTCTATATAGTAGTACAGTAAATTTGTTGGATACAACCTCAAAGTTTTGCACCATTGCCATATTTGTAATTGGTGACTTGTGAACAGTAGTCCATGTGTAATGTGTAGGTATGTTCATGATCTGTCTCCAAACCAAACTTCACATGCATAGGCCCAGTGGTTCATTAGTTATCATCTTCAAACCAAAAGCTAAAGAAACGTTTGCAATGCTGCTATGTTATTTTACATTCTAAAAGCAGGAAGTACTGTTACTAAAATTGGTTATTCCCTAAAGATTTATTGTATACATCATTTGAGGACCTTAAAGTACATGGTGCTGGTGTTGCTTTCGGGGAAGGGGGTCATGGGCAGTGTGGTGATATTATGGACCTACTTGCCTTTCCCCATAAGAAAGGAAAGTAGGCTGAAAGGCTAAAAGGAAAAAATGTTTGCAGATAATCTGCAGATGGATAATGGATCTCATTTTCTGTACTCACCTGTTTATACAGGGTGGGGCACAGAAACGTCCTTTTTTTGAAGGCGAATAAAAGAAAAATTATTGCTGATAGACAAAATGTATATTTAGCTAATGAAAGAACATATGTTAAAGTTTTAAATCATGTAGTTTTAAACAAAATATCTTGAAGGTGGTGGCCACCGTTCTCTATGCACTGATGCAACCGTTTTCTGAAGTTCCCCTCTGCATGTTCCAACATGTGCACCGGAATTTGGGCTACTTCCTGCGAATAACATTCTTCAGCTGAAGCAGGTTTGTGGGGCGATGTTTAAAAACCTCTGCCTTGAGGTATCCAGAAATATGACAGGGTGTTAGATCAGGTGAGTGCGCTGCCCACAGGATGTCACACCGAAGCGAGATGAACCGTCCGGGGAACTTTGCCCTCAAAACTCTCATCGAAGCTCGGGCTGCGTGGGCCGTGGCACCATCCTGTTGGAACCAGACATTTCCTAGATGCATTTCTTCAAGAGCTGGTTCGAAAAAGTTTTTAATCATCTCCACTTACCGCTGTGAATCAACAGTAACTGCATGATTGTCTTCTTCAAAAGAATAAGGGCCAGTAACTCCAACTCTTGACAGTGCACACCATACTGTCACCTTATCACTGTGAAGTGGCCTCTCATGGAGGTCTCTGGGATTGTTACCACTCCAGTAGCGCATATTCTGCTTGTTGACATCTGGATAATTGAAAATATGCCTCATCACTAAAGAAAACAAGTGCATCACGGGGTAAAGTTTCCAATAACGTTTCGCATGCCGTTATTCAGTTCTGGAAATCACGTGGTGACAATTCTTGCCCAACAAACATCTTATAGGGATTGAATGATTGGATATGTCCAGGGCGACTGCATGTTTGTGATCGGGGGTGTCTTGGATATCTTAAAATCGACTGTCGAACTGCCTCCACATTTTCTGGCATCGTAACGGTCTATTGTCATCCTGATGATTTTTTCACCACACTCCCAGTTGCCCTAAAGTTCTCTACCCACAAAACAATCGATTTCCAGTCGGGAACTGGACCTGTGGGCTTAATTCCGAAGTGAGTACGGAATGCATGCTGCACCGCTACGTAGGAATGGCTGTTCGAAAAATAGGCTTCGACAGCAAACGCACGCTGCTCACTCATCCACCTCATGTTTCCTACTGAGGGGTATTAGACAGAAATTCCCGCGACTGCTGCGTTCGCCGGGCCTATCCCCACTTTTCTTCGACCTCCACTCCCTTCACAATGCGTCTTCACAAAAAGGAAGTTTCTGCAGCCCACCCTGTACTTATCTTTAGTTACTGATATTAAAAATGTGGAAACTACTGAATTTTTGTTTATTTACAGATAGTTTGGTATCGCCAAGGTAATATGGATCCAAAATTCAAGATACTCATCTACTACAATACATTTTGCCTAACATTGCTTTGTGTCTGTGCTAATATTTATTTCCATGGAGCATAAGTTTCAGTGTGAGGGACATTACGAAAGGTACAGTGCTTGTGATATTTGAGGTTCAGATGGCAGTGACTGCAAAGAATATTGTCTTCTGGGATGTGACACCATGTAGTCTGATAGAAATTTACTGGAATTTTTGAAGAACGTTCTGCCTTCATCTCCACTGTTCTCACACTTTGGCTCTGAAAATGGAAGCGCCAATTGGTAAATTGGTAAATTTCTGCCATGGTATACATTGTCACAGTCCAGGAGATAGGATTCTTCATTGACACAGTACTTGTTTTACTTGAGTAGCATAGTTTGTGAAGTGAATAATTGAGACTATTGTCACCAGTATGGCCCATTGGTTGGAGAACCTGATTTTATTTACCATTACAGGTAGATTCTTTCCAACATTATAAGTATGCCCTGTGTTACGGATGTTCTTGTTATACAATTTTATCATTTTGGAAATGAATAAGACTTGACCACGAAGTTCAAAATATGGATTATAAATTCGCCCTTATGACCATCTGAGATGAGTATTAATGTTCTGAATATAAACTATAAAAACAAGAAATTCTGCTCAACTAAGTGTTTTTAAGAAATTATCTGTTAATAAATTCAGATTGCTTATTCACGTGTGTCAGTGACATAACGACCACCTCTGTGGTCTAGTGGTCAGAGCTCCTGCCTACAGAGGTCCTGGGTTCGATTCCCGGTGCTGCTGAATTTTCTGAGAAGTAGTGAGGATAATTGAGGAGCTCTTTCAAGGGAATAGCGGCTCCGGTCTAGAAAACCGAGAGTAATGACCGTGGGGAACCGTTGTGCTGACCATATGACACCCTCTGTCTGAAAAAGTAGGCACTAACTTCACTGACAAGCTTCATTTGCTCAATCGGTATAGTTCACTTGCGGACTACAGGCCATCGAGTCAGTAACATAACATATGTAACTGGCCATTGGCTAACTTCTGCACTGACATTGTTGACGTGAGGGATGGTTGATAACATGATTGCTATCCCCCCCTGCCATAAGCCCAACCATTCCCAAATTTGTTATGAGTAATGTTTCAGTTTGTGAAGTTTTTATGTTTTGTACCATCTGTTATTTATGATAGGTAAAATTATATTTGTAATACAACTATAAATCAAAATAATATCTGTAGGACTGCATTTTCCCTTGTAACATGGAGTTAGTGGCCAAATAGGGATCAGTTTTGGGAATTTTGTGATGACACATTTTCAAAGACATCCCTTCCACAATGCAAGGGCATCATGTATTTCTTTTCACTTCTACATGAAATGGATAGAAATATCTGAATTTAAAACCTGATTATGCCACAGTCTTAGGTATTGTAAACCAGATTTTCATGTCATTGTTAGAATTTTAACTTCTTACAGTTTGCTGGACCAACATTATCATTAGCGTGGACAGTAAAGGTGAGGAGATACTGTCTGAAATGGACAGCAGATCAGACTATTTTCAGGTTAAGATATTTACAAATATCAGAATTACATATTTCACCAAAAGTTTTTTTTTTTGTTCATTGCTGTAGAAGGAATAAATGTTTAAAGAATGCCATCTGATATGGGGAAGAAATTGTAAAATATTAAAATACTGATAGAAGATGCCTAAAAAGTAGCCTTGTGCAAGAATTATTTCTTTGGTATGAGATGAGAATTTTGAAAAAAAAAATGACAAGACGAGAAAAGGACTTTCTATACTAGACCAGTATTTTTCCTCTAATCACAATTTATAACACAGGTTTCTTTTTCACAGTGTACTATAGTTTATTATTTAACCCTTTTTATATCAGATAACTTTTCAGTGACAATTTTTACCATGAGAAGAAAGAGGGACAGAGAGAAATTTTATTGTAAGTTGTTTCATGTTGGTATTTCCAAGAGTTAAGATCGTGATGGATCAGGTAGCTTGCATGTTACCATATAAAGCAAATGGAGTTACCTAAAGATTCTTGGAGATTGAAAATTCAATATTTGTATCAAAATTTTTTCCTCAGTTTCATCTAAAAATAAGTGAAATTCACACATGCTTATTAGAATGCCTTTTAAAATATGGAGAGACTTTATTTGATAATACTGTTTACAGATCAACTGGACTTAATACTGGAAATGATAATCATGATGTCCAAATTATGCACTAAGCCATATTACTGTTTTAAAGCAGCAGTGTTCAGTTTATTATTTAGTGTCTATTATTTTGCAGGTTAGAAAGAAGAATCATGAATTTATTTTGGCCAAATCAGATGAACTGAATTCAGAAAGACATAATAATTGTATAGTGTGGACATTTTATCTCTGGACTTGAGTGCTGTAGAGCCACAGTTACGTTTCCTCATCTGTTTCCTCCCCATTATGGTTAATGCCCACCATCACATCCTCCTGCATGTCATGTTTCTTACAATACTGGGTGATCAGCATAAACCAGAGAGATTTTCAATATGTCCTATGCTACATTTCTAACTCTCTCCTAGTTAGGTCCAGCTATTTCCCTTGGTGCTTTGATTTTGTATGTTCGTAATTTCTGCTCTTCCCTAAAAGTAAGAGAATACACTTTGCTCTCAAACAAAACAGCTGGCAGAATTATGGGTTTTAATGTCCTGGGCATTTTGGAGAGTGAGTAGGGTTATATTAATTTTTTGTTTAAAATAAATAGACCAATGATGATATGGGTACTCCCTGTTATGTGCAAGTTGAAAAATGCAGTTTTATTTTAATGCATTCAACTAATTTATACTGATTTCAATTAATAGCTCTGGACATGCAGTTGTGTAGTTAGTTGAGGCACTATGCTAAAGGCTGGAAGGTCACAGGTTTGATTTCCAATGAGGTCATTGGATTTTTTAATTACCTAATCCTTCCAGATGCACTATGGCCCTGGGATCAACTCAGCCTGTAACAGAAATGAGCACCAGGAATCTTCCTAGGGGTAGAAGGTGGCTGGCATGTAACCCTGACAACCTCACCTCCATCTGTGAGCTGATTGTCTAGAAAATGTGAGAGCCTTAATGTCAAACAACTCTCTGAGCTTCAGGGGCTAGTTAGGGGGATAGCTTTACATTTTTTACCTTTTACCTTCAATTAATGCTTTAATACAAATTGTGTGCTGACCAACGAAGGTAGTTTGAGAGAAGGGGGAGTAGCATGATGTGAGGGTGGAGGAGGGAGAATGCAAACACAGAAGGGAAACAGATGTTTGAGTTTTGTGATTACAACCTTTGAGACTTTTCTTTCAACTGACGCATAAATTGTGGAGTACAAGTACTCTTCTTATTCATTATGTGTGTCAGCAAATTAGCATTATGGAACTTAGAATAATATTATAACGTGTTTTGCCACTGAAGACGACATTCGGATTGTTAATTGGTTTATTTAACAACCTACAAGTCCAAACTACAATTAATTATAACAGAGTGACGGGTATTGACAAGTTATAAACCCTACAAAATGGTCTGTTCAATAGTCTTCTTCGTGTAGTTATAACATGGGAGCTATACAAGTGTCACTGTATCACTCCCAATTACTTCTCAGTGGTCACAAATTATCACTAAGTATCACACAATAACTCTTCTGATCACACATTCGGGTCTTCTCCCTGCGATCGCTAAACTGCAACTCACTCCGTGGTTGCTACCTTGAAAACTGTCTTTGGCAGCTACTACATTTTAACTAACTTCGTAGGCAGTGTAGTTCTCTTATAAACCCTCTGCTGGACAACGGGAAACGCCTCGCTTCCTTGTTGCCTAGTCGCTGTGTTTGCCGATAGCTTAGCAATGCTGCTGGGAGTTGTTTACTGCTACGTAGCAACTGTGGCGTCCTGTGTTATGTCATCATGGGGACAGGGGCGGGGTGTTGACTTGCCTACTACCGTAGCAACGGCAACGCTCCGAAAGTGTTATGTCACTGCTGGCGGGGTGAGGGGGTGTCCTCCATAGCACAACACGTCACAATATTAAATGTGTATGTGATGGTATTGGTGTACTGCACACAATATTACATAAAGTTCTCTGCAGGACACAAGTGACAGTAAATACATCAACATCCCTATCAGCAACACCTTAAACATCCCAACAGAACGAAGAAACATAGACACACTAACCATTAAGGAAGTTAACAAAAATTTTGAAGACAATATTAAACCAAAATTATTTCCAGTACAAAGAAAATATTTACAATCTTAAAACAGGTGTTGCAATGGGATCCACCTTATTGGGCATCATAGCTGAAATTCAGAATTTAGAGTGACCATTATTGAAATATTTCCTGGAAAGTGAAACTGTAATATACTGTACCAGATTTGTGGACAGTGTTTTTATCATCTATAACAAAAACAAAATCACATCCAAATCAGTATTAGTGCATTTCAGCAAGCAACATAAGACACTGGGGCATGCGGTAGCATAGTTGATTGAGACACTATGCTACAAACCAGAAGGTCGCAGGTTTGAGTCCTGATGAGGTAGATTTTTTTTTCCCAGTTGACCTAAACCTTCCAGCTGCACTATGGCCCTGGGGTCAATTCAGCCTCTAACAGAAATAAGTAGCAGGAATCTTCCCAGAGGGTAAAGGGTGGCTGGTGCATAAGGCAGACAGCCTTAGCACCATCCGTAAACCGATTGTCTAGAGAAAATGTGGGAGCCTCGACATTTCACAACCATATGGGCTTTCATGGCCTGTTACAGGGATAGCTTTACCGTTTTTTGTTTTTTTTTTGCCTTTATGTAAGACATTGTAGTTCAAAGTTACCAAAGAGAAGAATAAATAAATATGGTACTTCGACTTACACATCCTAAATAGGCAAGGAACCATTAAAATAGATATAGAAAACCAACACGAACAGATGGTACAATAAATCATACTTCTGCCACCCTGGAAAACATAAAATGGCCACTTTCAAAAACTGGATCCACATAAATTACCACTAAATAAGACAATAATAAGAAATGTAATACCGTTGTAAAAATCACCAAAAACAACAGCTACAAAGAAGAACAAATCTCTTAAGGGTATCTGGATGAATAGTATCCACGATAAAAAGTTTGTATCTCAGAAATTAATTGTTGTACACATATCCAGTTTATATCATTGGAAAAAAAAAACTGAATTTTTTTTCATGCCTAGCTTACACGCATGCACCAGCTGGTGACCTTCGACGAGCTCAGTATTAATGTCAACACCACAGGAACCAGGAACAAGTTCAATGCTTGTTGCAGCTAGCAGAGTTGCAGTCTCTTAACTGTCCAGCATTGTTTTAGAATGGACGTCAGCCTCCTACATGGAAAAGGATTCAGTTGTGGGACAACAAACTGAGGACTACAGGTAGTCTGTTGCGTGTAAAATCTCCTCGAAAGAAACGGACCTCTGAAGAAAATATTTATCTCATTGGAAAGGCATTCCAGCAAAGTCTGCCCAAATCAATTCATTGTGCTAGCTTGCAATTACAAATTCCACGTTCAACAGTGCACGGTATGCTAAACAGAAGGCTCTGCCTAAGAATCATTCAAATGAATCATACACTAAAACCCAGTGAACAAGTTTCATGCACAAACTTCGCTGTGGACACGATAGAAAGAATTGACACATCACCAAATTTCCTCCACCAAGTGTGCTTCTTGTACGAGGTGATGTTGCATGTCAGTGGAGTTGTAAACAGGTACAGCTGGAGGATTTGGGGCAGTCAGAATCCACATGTCACATGTGAGTTGGAGAGAGGCAGCCCTGAAGTGAATGTGTTGGCTGGCTTAATACACGAGAAATTGATTGGACTGTGTTTCTTTTCAGAAAAGACTGTGACCAGACTTTCATATTTTGATATGCTGGAGCTGTATGCGCTGCCCAAATTACAATCTCAAACTATCCTCCAATAAGATGGGGTGCTGCCACATTTCTCCCACAGTGTTAGGAATCACTTGGACAGAGAGATGGCTAGGAGATGGATCGGCAGAGGTGGACCAATCGCTTTGCCTCCTAGGTTGCCAGATTTAACACTGTTGGATTTTTTCTTGTAGGGTTATGTCTACTAGGTTAATATCAACAACCTTTGACACCTGAAAGCCCGCATAAGGGACACTGTGGCTATTGTAACACCAAGCATGCTTCAGGCAATGTGGAATGAGGTCAAATATCATCTGGTTATTTGTCATGCCACAAAGAAGCCCCCATTGAAATTTATTGGGAAAGTTATATACTCAGAAAAAAATACTTTGATAGTTTCCCTTTATAATGTGTATATAACTCATAAATGTGTATAATAAATGCTTTCTGAGATATAATTATTTTTTTTATACTTCTCATCTGGATACTCTGTGTAATCAAACAAAACAAAAAGAAAGACAAATGCAAGAGAAAAGCAAAAATGGGCAACATTTACATACTCAGAAATCTACATCATAACTATCACAAAGCTATTTCAAAACACAAATATAAAAGTTTCCTTCAGAACAAGCACAGTTGGAAACATATGTAAAACACATCCATGGTGTATATATTGTCACGTGTTGGGTATGTAACACGACAAATAACTTCACGCTGTTCTGGATCTTAGCGAATTTATTGCACACTCGCTCTTACATTTACGCAATTTACAGTTCCACAATTACTGCAATCAGCAGTATCACAATTACTTCACCTGCTTCCATTCACTCCGGCGAATGCTAGACTGCAACTGACTGGTTACTCTCTCTCACTGACAAATACTCCTGTTATGTAGCTTCCACACTGACAACACAGAAAATAGTTACGTGATAGCTTTCACTGTTGTATGATGTCATGTTTACCGATTGCCTAGCAACAGTCGCTGCATGGGCTCCCCTGTTGCATGATGCTATGTTCACAAAGGCATTGCTGGGCAACGCCGCGTAGCAACCAGCGCGCTTCGGCTCGGCTCGGCATGGACAAACACCGCTTTCCTTACTGTTACGTAACCTTGTTTCAACTATTGCATAACATGGCAACCAACCGTTTATCAAGGGTCTGTCTTTGTGGTAACTCGTTCCACCTCCCATTGCCCAGCAATTGTTTGACATGTCACAATATATATATTGACATGCTCAGATTGTCAAAAATCATGCATTGGACAGGCATGACATACCTTATGAAAGAGATACAGTGAAGACATACAAAATGTAAGATAAAACAAGGAGGATTTGGGATTTCTACACATATGCTTAGAAATATATACCATTATGGCAGAGTAGAGGATATTATTGAAAGAAATTGACAATGCTGGAAGGGATCAGGTTATGAATATAAAAGAGAACTTTTACATTTGTAAATATAAATTCTGTAACAAGTTAATAGATAACAAAAACCCAGTAAAAATAATCATAAAAAACAATCTCTTTGAAATAGCCATAGCATATACAGACACATATGGCCAAGGTTAGCCATTACCACAACTGACAGCTAACTTTAACAATATACGTATATGAAACACAACAGGATGCACACTGTGAAGATATGCAGACATACCCTCATAAACACTGTGTGCATGCATACAAGGAATTTGCGGATCCATAATAGCACAAACATTCAATACACCATGGCACATCCCACACGCTATCACGTATTTCACCTGATTACACACAGTTACACACCACAGGTATGGCACATGAATGATTACTCTTGATTAATAATGTTTCAAGAAAAAGAGATACAGACCTAAAAAATTCTTGCATTATATTTGCAGATGGACATTGGACCAACAACAGCAATAACAGCAATCTACATATAAGGTATTCTATGTAACCAAGAGTAGAAAAGTAAGACTGTTATGTTTCTGTGCTTCCACAGAAATACTTTAATTTATTTTAACTAATACTAATGACCTTTAACAAACACACCTTATTTTAATTGCATTCACGTTTTAGTCTCGATTCTGAATGCTTGCTGAAATCCCCTTATGAAGACTTATGTTCAAATACACGTGTAAAATATTTCTTTGTAGTGTTGTCTAGGCCTTTCGTGATGGCCTGTAGATGCCAAAACATGTAAAGGGAGACTTTTT